CCCCAAAACCCCAAAACCCCAAAACCCCAAAACCCCGAGTGTAATTATACATATGTGAAATAATAATTGGATAAATTCTATAATACCTTCTAATTACTTTGACTTAATTTTAATAATGATAAATTATGGTTCTTAAATTTGGACAGCCCTAAATATTAAATTAGCATTAAAATTATTTTCAACTTCAATTAATATAAGATAGTAAGTTAATACTATTAAATTTTAACCAAATTGTAGCAGATCTAACCAATGAATATGGATTAAATGAACAGTAAAATAACTTAAGAATCTAATTAAAATGCTCTAAATAGCGAAGCAAATGAAAGTTGCTTTGAAAGTTTTGACTTTATAGAGGAAAGAGATGATAACTTTGAAACTGAAATGAACCAAGATAATTATCAGTACAATCAGTAATATATGGAGGAACATGATAATGAAGAGTAATATGAGTAAGATAACTAGGAATCAGAATAGGATCAAGAAAATGAAGAATAGGATGATTTGCAAGGAATGATAGATGAGTATATGCATAATTAAGAGAGTAATGATGATATCATGGATGATGAGTAGCAAAGAGGACATATGGATGATAAAGCTAAAAATGAACTTATTTTTCAAAACTTGAGAAGTTCATCCAGCTCCCACTCTTCGAATTAATAAAGAACATCTTCTGGCTATCTAGCTGGAGAAAAAGATGAGAATGATTCTCAGAATGAAACCTAGCCTAGTTCCGGTGAATACAAGGATAAAAGATAATCTAATCAATCAAGATAGAGTCTTGATCATGGATCAGAATTAAACTAAATAAATCCAGAGGACTATCAAGATAATTGTTGTTAGTTAGATTAAGATTACTAGTAAATAAATGATACTTAAATGAACTAGGTTAATGATGATCGTATTGATATCATAGCTGAGGAGGCTAATGAATAGTTAATGTAAAAAAAGTATGGATAGGCAGCGATTATTAAGAATCCTGTGCAAAAAATTACTTTACCCCCTGATTCAGGTAAAAAAGCTGGGCCAGAATCAATGTACTACTTAAGTATTCACAAAGCTGGACTTGAGGAAGTTGATAAAGATATGATCCATAAAGTTATTTAGGAAGCTTCAAAGACTTCAGAATTTTACAAATAAGAGGAGAAAAAATTGAATGAAGTCAAAGAGAGATGCAAAAGATATTAAGAAAAAGTTGATCAAGTAAGAAAAGATATTATTTAATGGGAAAGAATGCTAATAGAAGTAAATACTCGAAAGGAGTTACTTAAGAAGGAGAGGAATCTCAAAAGAACGTGGATTCATGTTGATATGGATGCATTCTATGCAGCAGTTGAGATGAAAGAGGATCCAAGCTTAGCTGAAAAACCTATTGCAGTAGGAGAGAAAAATATGATTATGACTACTAATTATATAGCAAGGAAATTTGGAGTAAGATCTGGTGTGCCTAGTTTCATAGGTAAAAGATTATGTCCTGAGTTAATGATTATTAAGCCAAACTTCCCTAAGTACAGGAAGGCATCAGAGCAATTTAAATCTGTACTTTTGAGATATGACGAGAATTTAGAGTCTATAGGACTTGACGAAGTAAACATGGATGTGACAGATTATTTGATTAAAAATAAGTTTGATAATTAAGAAGGAAGAATATTTGTAGCCCAGAAAATTAGAAGAGAAATTTTTGAAAAGACTTCTATGACTGCTAGTTGTGGTATTGCTTGCAATAAGATGCTAGCTAAAATCTGCTCAGACATGAATAAGCCAGATGGATAAACTTACCTTCATAATGATGAAAAGTAAATAACAGAATTTATGAACAAATTACCTGTTAGAAAGTTAGTGGGAGTCGGTAAGGTTAATGAGTAAATTTTGCTTGGAATGGGTATTCAAACTTGTGAAGATGTAATGACAAAGTCTATTGACATTTATATTAACTTCACTGAAAATGCTTTTGATTTTTTAGTAAAATCTGCCATGGGTATTGCAAGAAATACACATGATGAAACTGGACTTAAAAAGAGTTTGAATGTATCTTAAACATTCCAAGTCTTATCTGAGTATAACTAAATTAAATAAAAACTCGAAGAATTATGTGAAGAAATGGAAGCAAGAGCTAAATAAGAGAAGTTAAGCGGTAGAACGCTCACTCTAGAGTTTAAGAACGACAAGTTTAAGAATAAGTAAAGATCGTACACTTAAAATTAGTTCATTTGGAGGAAGGAAGATCTAATGAAAATTGCAATAAATCTCTTAAACGATGTTTAGCCACTTGAACCAACTCGACAAATCAGTGTTAAATTGCTAAATCTAAGAAATGATAAAGGCTAATTGAGTGCTAGTGCAACAGAAGTAAACTAAATAACTGGTGGTAGGACTAAGCTAGGAGGAACTCCTAAAGAAAATTAGCCTAAAGCACTCAAAGCCACTGTTGTTACTTCATCAGGTGATGGTGGCTTTTAAAAAATTACCGTAAATATATGCAGAGGAGATGAATGAAGCTGACAAAAAGAAGTAAAAATAGAAGCAGTTCTGGGTTGATAGATATAAATACAAAACTTACTTAAATAATAAATTCAACAAAATGGATTAAGCCAAAAAGGCAGCTGATTAGGGTGCCAATAATGAGAATGAAAGTATTTTAAAAACTAAGACTAGTGGAGTATTCATTCCATATCGTAAAGGTTTTATCAAGAAATGGACTCCAGTAAACTACAATAATCTGAGAAATAATTCCTATAATAAAGATAATAATAATAGTAATAATAATCAGTATCAAAATAATCATAATTAAAGTAGTGGAAGTGGAACTAGTAATGGGTAAAGCATAGTTTAACACAAAGATAGTGAAAAGCCTGAATAGCCATACAAGGAAAAATATAGAGGAAACTGGATGATGAATAAGACTAAATTTCCTAAATAAAGTTACTATAATAACAGTAACAATAACAATAGCAATAACAGCAGTAGCAACAACAACAACACCAACGGAGGTTAGAGTAGTGGCAGTAAATCTGCCTCTGAATATAGCGAATTAAAAGCTTATAAAAATTTCTATAAAAACAATAAACTCTACATTTCGAAATATAAAAAGTTGTCTGAGTAGAATCATCTTAGGGGCTAACCTACTAATGGAGGAAATAATGGGGCCCCTTAGAATGGGAATCAAAATAACAATGGTGCATCTGGAAGTAAAAAAGGTGGCCAAAGTGATCTTAATAATTTCATTAAATGTAATTGAAACATCTAAATTAATTATCATTAAAACTTAATTTATATATCTTGAACTTTTTTTAAAAAAAATTCATGGATTTTCATTCGATTTCTAATAAATTTGAGAATATTGATAATGAGGGGGTTTTGGGGTTTTGGGG